TGATCCTGTTCGACAGCCGACCACCACCACCACCACCACCACACCATCATCATCATCACCACCACCACCACGATCCTCCCACGACAGAGATCGTCCTTTTTATCATTTACCCTGGACCCTGGTGCGTGGTCCTGTCCATCCTCGAAACACCATACTCTCTCCGCATATTCGGTGTGATTCGGATCAACGACATTTCCTCTCTTTCTCCTCTCGCCGCACAGCTCTCTCTTTCTCTCTCTCTCTCTCTCTCTCCCTTTCTCTTTCTCCTCGACGATCCTTCCATTATATTCCTCGTCACTCTCGACAAACCTGCCTCTCTTATCGACGCGAATATATCGTGGTCCAAGTGGTGAAATCGCGTAAGAAAAACGACCGCGTGAAAGAAACGTAATGAGAATCGTCGACGTCGCGGTCGTGGTCGTCGTTGTGGCGAATAATAATTGTGACGCTCGGTCGTTGTGAGGAGGTCCCGTCGACGACGCGTGAGGATCCATCCATCGGTGACCATCCATCCAAGTCGGTCGTACGTTCGTATTTATTTTGGTGGTTACTCCCTATTGTTGATATTTACTTTGTGCGAGGAACGTAGCAGCAGTAGCAGTAGCAGCAGCAGCGGCGGCGGCGGTTGGGAAGGGAACGGTGGAAGAAAGAAGGCAGGCTGCCGGGCAGCAGTCGGGAGGATCACAGGGCGAAGAGGTGGGAGCCATGCCGCCCGGGCGAGCTTCCCTCGAGGTAGCCAGGATCGTCCGGCATCCCTGTTCTTCCACGGTACTTCCATTGCGTTTTCATCGCCTCTTTTGAGGTAAGCAATGAATTTTTCTCTCACTCTTTCTCTTTCTCTCTCTCTCCCTTCCTCTTTCTCTCTTTCTTTCTCTCTCTCTCCTTATTCACTCGCCACCGATCGAGCGCGGGGCGATTGACAAAGAGAGAGATATACTACGTCTCGAACGGTGTTCCAACGGTGCGCGGATAAATTTAAGTTAATTGTTTCTTTTGCGAAAAAGTTTCACGGAGGAAGTCATTTCGCCTGTGTAACAAAAATATATTCTTAAATCTGACGAAAACTTTCAATTTTGTATATTCCGTTCGTGATATTGATATCGATGGAAAAATCTATTCGAGCAGGATGGAAAGGTCGTCGTCCGAGCGTAGTGGAATCGCGAGAGAGGTTTCGCCACTGTTGACATTGGTGACGCGGCTTCCGGCGAACGTTGGCCAGCCTGGTTGGCCGACCGACAACAGGGGACAGCGGGGCACACATGTTCCCACCGAGAAAGAAAGAAACGAACGGTGGAGTTGGTTCAATGAAGTTCGCGCTGAACGCGCCGCCGCCTGTCTTCGCGTCGCGTTTCCCGTCCTCGTTTCTTTCCCACTCTGCTCTCGCCCAGAAAATCGTGCACTCTCGCGATTTTCCACCCACTCGCGGAAATTAATCCTTGGAATTTAGGCGAATTTAATTTACAATTTATTTTTTCCTGCAATAAGAAAAAATTCAAATTATCCTCCGTAAGATACTTCGTTCTTTCTTTTCTCCTTCAATTTACAGTCGAACACGAAAACATCATCTCTTGTTTCCTTTATAAATATCTCTAAAAAAAGAATCTTCCTTTAACTCGTACGTTCCAGCACGCTTTCCGAATCGTCTCTCGAAGCCTGTTCTCTAAATCTATTAAATGGATCGACTCGTGCGATCGAAAAGAGAAATATTCCGAGTATCCTCTTGACGGATTCCAAAGGGAGAAAAAAAAAATAGCGGTAGAAGAGGGAAACAGTTTCCTCGACAAACGGCCAACAATTGACCCAAAAATTTCCTCGGACGCGTTTAAGAAGCTACGGTCTAATAAATTTCGAGGTGGGACGGAGCCATTCTTCGACGGAGCCGCAAACCGGCGGAATTCTTCCTCCGGATCGAGGATGCTCCGGATTCTTGGCGAGCGTGTGCGCGATAAGTCACGCTCGAATTTGCAATAGCGAGGCCATCGTCGAGACCTGCCATAACAAACCTCTCGCTGCGCCCCCTAAAAA